AAGTAGGGTTTCGAGACTACCAGTAAATCATTGTAATGAGATGTATTCACCCTATTTCGTGTAAGGTCTCCAATACCAAGTCTATGCTTTGCCAATGCCCTAGTCTCTTGTGTGCTGACCCACCAATGTTGTGGTACAGCATGTTTTGATTTGGTTCAATGTTGAACCACAATAAGAGGGATACTGGGATAAGACTAGAAAAGAGGACTGCATAATAATAAAGCAGACTCTGATCGAAATTCCCTGCACAAGAATGAAGGAGGAGGGTAAGAACGACAGTTGGAGTGTGAAGATGTCATGCCGCTCAAAGGAGCACACCACACTATATCTAAATAAACACGGTAAAAATTGTAATAGTGAAGGCATAATAGGATGCTACCGGAAACGCGAATAACCCAGGCCAGAAGGGGAGATACCACAATTGTTTAGCACACGTTTGGTCAAAGGATCGGCTTCACTTGCCACGTCCACGGTCCGACTCAGGAAACGATGATGCATACAATGGACCCCGGACTAGGTACGTCCCTCTTATTCTCCCTACCAATATGACCAAGTTGCGAACACAAGGTCAAACAAGCTCGATACAACGAAAGGAGACTGCGACCACACAAAAAGCAACACCATCTTGTTCTTCATACCTTGACACTTTTACAATTATGAATTCCGGTTCTGATGATGCCCATCAAATGAGGAATGAAGGCTCAGCCCATTTTCGCCCGAAATGGGAGAGAATGTCTCGTGGACTGGGTCAGTCTAAAGGCAATCAGTCGTCGTCTTCCTGTGAGATCAACCTACGTATCTCTTCATCATACGTCTTCATAAGAAATGAAGGTATCCGTGACACCCTAAACTACCTGGAGTGGCTCACACAGAATGCATGCAACTATGTCAAATCTAATGGCATATACAGGTTTGTCTTGGTGACAAGCGTAATATGAAGTTTTGGCTTTCTATTTGGCTCACTGGCTCCTGTCGTCAGGATACGCAAGAGTCGGTTTCTATGTGCGCTGGGGAAGAAGATAAAACGGTAGTCCAGTCTGGATGGAAAAACCTTTTGGGAGGCAAGCTGGGACAAATTCAATCGAATCGTGAGGACTTCTCATGTAATGTTGGGAAATATATGCACTCTCAGTCCTCAAAGCCTTTTTGGCCTAGAAATTACTGGGAGCTTCGAAACACGCTCTTAAAGAAAAAGTAAAGGTCGTCTTCTGTCTTTCCCATTACTTTGTTTCATTCAAGTATTCATATTCTTCTTCGATGGTATGCTCTTGCATTCGCTAAGGGCGATAATTTTTGCAGGCAAAGCCTGTGGTCAAATCTGAGGGAGAATGCGTCCTAGTGGCATAAGGTATTGCGAAATCTAATGAAAAAATCAAACATGTTAGTTTTCATTTAATGGCATTTATATAAACTCTTAGTTTCATACAGAGCTATCCTACTCTTCCTACTCGTATAAGTTTATACAATCCGTTTGTCGAACTCCTCTTGTCAAATATGTATTCGTTTTATATGAGATGTAGTAATCATTTTTGGTTTAGAGTGCTAATTTTCCCACAATAATATGAGTAGACATGACGTTTCCGTCGAATTTCACATATTTTACGAGACTACCAGTAAATCAGTAATATGAGATGTATTTCCCATATTTCATTTACGTTGATGAAGGACTGGTAGTAGAATTTTCCCACAATGATATAAGTAGAGCTGACGCTTCCATTAAATTTCACAGAGCCTTGCTTTCTCAAAAGTTGTTCTCATCCAGGGTGTGTGAAATTCATTGGAAACGTCAGCTATACACATTTCATTGTGGAAAAATTATACTACCAGTCCTTCATCACCCTAAACGAAATAGGGTGAATACATCTGAATTTCACATAGGCTTGTTTTCCCAAAAGTTATTCTCATCCACGATTGACTACAGCTTCGACCTTGCCTAGATCTTATCAGCACTTCCAACGGGACTCGATCCATGACCGTGCAGTGTATCATTTAAACTCGGCAACCGCTACGCCAGACTGTCGCTAGTGTCCTTGGAGTACAGGGCGGATGTGTATCTTAAGGCATTTTTTCCATACCACAATCTGTGGTTGAATTGTCAATGGAAAAAGCTGTATTTGCTAGTGCAATCTACTACGTTACTTATTTTTCCTTTATAAGTAGTCTATCAGTCCCCTTATCACCCCAAACGAAATAGAATGAATATATTTCATTGATTTGATCTACTGGTAGTCTTGAAAGCCCACGTATAAATGACAAATTGTATTCATTTTGTTTGTAAACATGGTAAAAGATGTGCCATTGTTTGACTTCACTGAGATCGGCCGCCGTAGTCCTCCAGATGCCCTCTTCCGGTTGCCGAGAAAGTATATTTGATTTTAGTCCATTCTGATGACAAACTTTTCAAAGGAATGGAAGCTAATCGTCTCATACAGACACAACCATACAAATACACGAAACCTTACTTTCACCTCTTCATCACCCACTTTCACACCAAATAAAAGTCAGCTTATCAAGAGGAAATTTAACGAAAGCCAGCTGCTTTTCGTATACGCAACTCCTCGATTCCGTATGGGGTATTTCTGATTCTATAGCCCTGTTGCTGCGTCCATACAGCCTACTCCTTCTCTTCTACACACTTTCGAGGCGATTTCACATGCTTCTGCTGCTCTATTCACCTTTCTTCTCATCTTTTACATTCACCCAGGACCACCAACCAAGTGCGCTCCATCTCGAATGGACTGATCAACTCGTCGCACGATGCCAACGGAAAGCCATTCAAAAGCACTGTCGATTACTCTGCCTCCTTCTGTCAACAGCTCAACATGGTCTGCTGGCGAACGGCGCTCAATCTTCTTCGAGATCCACAGGCCTCGATCGTACAAATGGCCGTCTACCTCTTCTTCGCCATCTCAATGGGTGTGATCTACTTCAAACTGGACCTGTCCGTTGAGTCGGGCATACAAAATCGAGCCGGTCTCTTCTTTTTCTCCACTCTGCAAGTCGTCTTCGTCAATATCGGCTCTATAGAACTGTTCATCAAGGAGCGTGTCATATTCATGTAAGCAAGCGTGTAGTCAGATTCACCCAGCCTTGCTCATCTTTGCCCCAATTATTCTCAATATCTCTACTTCTCGCATCATACCACCCGGATATGTTATAGCGAGTCATCCCAAACTGCTAATCCTCACGAGCTTAAACTAGTGAACTGACAAAATATGCTTATTCGACAAGGAAATTTCTATGGACTCTGAGGTCTTTTTATTCTCCTTGATGCCATATCAGCCGACTGCTCACATTTTTGGGATACATGCAAAATCAAGACTTTCCTAGACAATCTTTCGGTTGTTTCAGGCTTAATCGCAGACAATGATTTGGCGTTTAATTAATCGTTTGAGGTAAATGTAAATAAAGTCTAGTTTGGAGTTCTGCATGAAGCCTAATTCGCCAGTTCTTCTGTCTGGAGCACAGGATGTGTACTTTTCTGTGCTACCCACGACGGACGCTTGTTTTGCTTTAAATTATGCTAATTACTTGATAGGACAATTTCTTTGGGAGGTTACTTTGCTTCTGAAGCAGAATAATAATAATCAGAAGAGTAAGCAGGATCATTTGAAGTGACTATTTATTACATCTCTAGCCGGGACATAATCAAGAGCTAAATTTAGGATTGCTCAATCCCATTTTTCTCATTTACATTAGCCTCCATCTTGAGCTTATCAATTTTTGTTTCTCGTCGAATGAATTTCTTTTTCAGTCACGAAAACTCATCAGGCTATTATCGTGTATCCTCCTACTTTCTTGCCAAAATCTTCTGCGACATCCTGCCCACCAAAGCTCTCCCAGTCTTCATCTTTCTGCCCATCGTGTATTGGATGGCTGCTCTCCGTCCGGATGCAGGAGCTTTCTTCTTCTTCGAACTAATTCTGACGCTCACTACTTTGGCAGCTGCCGGTATCGCTCTGTTCGTCAGTGCCAGTGTCACATTGTTCAGCATCGCGAATGTGATTATTTCCATCATCTTTGTTTTCATGATGGTAAGCTTAACAAGAGCATGGCTTGTCCTCGTAAAGTGTGAATCACACTGTTTTCTCCCACTTCTGGAAGTCAAGCCAGACCTAGTTTGCTGTACTATGACTGGAAGTGTGGTTCAGGTTGTTTTAATAAAGAGTTTACTACGATATATAATGCGTGTGGTGGGTGGCAACATGAACTAACGAGATTGAAACGGTGAATTCTCTTTTGAGTTCCACCACTCTCTATTCCCAAAAGTGGTGGTTGTGAAAATCGGCTTAATTTTTATGATAAAATCTTTCTATTAGTTCGTCAAAATATGCCGATTTTTAGGGGCAGTCTCAACAATTACTTCTTAAAATCTGAAAATTTGTCATAACCTATATTCATTTTTACAGTATTTCAATAAAAATCGGGGGTGAATTTAGGTGATTTCAGTACCGATAGTTGAATTGTTCACGAGTAACTGTATAGAAGGCCTCACAATTCTAGGTATTTTCACTCACGATGACACCATCAAGTAGGCTATAGATTTCACGCCAAATGGATTCGAAACTGGAGCTTCCGCGTCCATCGGTAGCATCAACCCTTCCCCAAGCATCAATCTCTGCTAGTCGGTACCAGGGCAGATGCGACTTTCAAAGTCAGGTCAAGCGGCTCTCAGTTTACATTTCTCGATTGGACAAACTAGTTTTTTCCAGTGTAACCGATAATAGAACTAAATATCATTTGAGTAGGTTTCGAAATTACAAGTATATTTAGAATAAGTCCCTGAGCTCAGGTCTCTTGTTCATTTCCTTTCATCTTAGAGGACTGACCTAAGCTGACTCGAGCTTTGAGCATGAAGCAACTGGAATTTTGCTATTGGAAGATTGACCCAAACGAATATCGAAGCTTAGTACAGAAACTCTTTTTTTTAACTTGACTCTTTCAGCTACATACTCTTCATCAAGTTCACAAGGCCATAGTTGAATTTTGCATGTAGAATTTTGCCATATTCACAAAAAAACTCGTGATATAGAATCAGACATTGCGACTTTTAAGCCAGTCAATTAATTACAAAACTAAATTTCGCTTCCTGATACTTCTGGACGACGAAGAGTTCACTAGTTTTGCTTGCTCAGCACAAATTTGCATATTGTCTACACGTCGTTTGCAAGTCAAAATGCTTGTCCAGTGATCTTGCAGCTATACGTAAAATGTTCTTATAAAGTAGATCATGTCAAATTTGGAAGGGGGGATGTAAATAATATGATCTGCCGTTGCTGCATCTTAATCCCGTCATGCCAACATAACATATGTTAAAAGACATGCAAGTCCAGTCTTTTGTTAACTACTTTATGCGTCATTATGTGTGTAAGCAATCAATCGCTAATGGAATCAGCTAAATTCTTAAATAGTT